CTCATTCACGCCCTCATTTAAGGATCCCTTTTATCAACCCCACGACTTTTTTGCTGGCCGAAAGGATCACCGACTCAAGGGAAGAGAATTGTATTGAATCTCGAATTACAATGCGACGACTCGAAACGGCCCACCTGGAAGAAAACTAACCAATCAAAACTTAAACTGAAAAAAGTTGACTGGTAGCTTCTCTTGAACGCAAGTAACGGTCTGTTTGACGTGAAAACACAAACGCTACCGACTCCTCTGCGTTATTTACACTCTAAGGGATTCAGTCCTTGAATTGACGGCGAATTATCATATTTATAAATCTCGCACCATTAATTTAGCTGAAAAAGTCGTTTTGCGACAACTAAATCGAAGGCATTAAAAAGCGTACAAAATTTAGGATCCAAACTAACCAATCGAGAAATGGTAAAGTTTCCTGAGAGGTCCGTAACACCTCCCAATTTCTTGGGTTTTCAATTTTGTTATGATCCATTGTTCATATTCTTCAAGGTTATTGGTTTATTTAAGGAAAAGATTACTTTCCTTTGTTCTCAAGTAACGTTCCGATTGCTTAACTCTTTTCCAAGTGGCCTGGTTCGAATAGTCGCACGGTGAAATTTGTTTCATCTTCTTTATAGATTCCTCTCGATGAATCCTAATTTAAAACCTCGCTTCACCGAATTTAGAGGCATTATAGTAACCGACGTAAATAGAAGCAATTGTCACGCCAGAATAGTGATGACTGCCATCGAAAACGTGGTGTCCTCCCTGGACGACCCAGAGACCTTGGCGAGTTACATGTTGGAGATAGGAAAAAGACACGCCAGGCTCAACTTCAAACCTTCGAAGTCTCACGTAAGAATTTTTGACCCTGACGTTTCGTACCCAGACGTTTCGTACCCATTTTCCCTCGGTTCGTACCCAGCCCTCTACACCCCAAATCATCGTCCATTTAGCTGGGGCGGGATTGTATATCAAACGACACTAAATTAAATTGTCAACCATGGTGGTGCCGAAAGATCTTTTCCTGATTGTCCCATGCCCGTGACAAGCTAATTGTTGGCCTAAATCATGTAATATAAAAATGACTGGTACACGTTAGTTGTTGAGAGCGTCCATAGATAGTGACAAAACGACAAGAGGGGACTTTTATTTCCAATCTTTTTTAAGAACGCGAGACTGCTGACTCTTAGGAACCATCTAGTCACTTTCGTTGTGTTTCATCTCTTATGATAATCTCTATATCAGAAGGAAAAAGCAAAAATTGAAAATAAAGTCTAAAACTACGAATGATCAGACTCCGGAGTACCCGAAAGGCTTATTAAAACCTTTCAGCACGGACTCTGGACTCAGGAATATTGAAAACAAATTAGCTCTGCCCAAGCCCCGTACCGATTTTTTTGAAACGTAGTTTCTGCTACAGGGGAGCACACTCGTGGAATAGCCTTCCGCCTAACGTTAGAGCCATTAGAGATAAATCCCCAACTGTCCTCCTCGTACTCCCACACGGCAAACATGTAAATAGTTGTTTTTCTTATCTCAGTCTTGTAACTGACGTTTCTATCGTGTTTAAATAAAGTGTATGTTGTATGTACGCTGTGACCCCGGGAGGGGGATGGGGGGGGGGGGGGGGGGGGGTGCTTGCCCTGCCGGCTTTTCTTCCTTCTGTGATTATTTTAACCCAAAATAAGGGGGCAGCGG